GGTGCCGCCGAAGTGCGATGCGGTGCACCGCGCTCTCATCGAATGCCACCATCGCGTTCGCAATGATCTGCAGCGCTCGATCGCGTGCCGTCATCTGAACAGTTCCCTTGCCGAGTGCCTCTTGTCGACTTTCTGCCCTGAGGAAGCTGAGGCGGTTCGATCGCTGTGCTCGAGTGCGGGAACTGCCCTCAAGCGATCTCAGTGCCGGGATGCCCAGCTTTCCCTCTCCGTCTGCCTCGCTTCTCACCAGGAGTCGGATTAAGAAAAACCTAACTCTAACCCTTTTGCTACCGCGCTGAGAAAAGGCTTCGTCACGGTATGAATTCTTTTTGATTGATTGTTTATTTTCTGGATTTTGCGTGGAGCTGCCTTTTTGGTTCGTTGATATAATGATTTGTGATGTTGTGTTCATAGTAGATGTTAGATGGTTGGTTTGATGATACTTCAGATTGACGAATTTATAGATAGCATTTGAGCTTTATTTTAATGGCACCAAGATACTAGTCTTAGGCAGGTCCTGATCAAATCTAAAGACATATAGATATTGATTTTTCTACTTGTAAAATTGAATTGTTGAGGCCAAAATTTGAATAATGAATGAAAAGTCATATGTAAAAAAATTGACAGGACAAAGATTTTACGCATTTTAGAAATCTGTCCCTATTTCTACGATCTCATTGATTCCATTATATTTATTATGTTACAATTACAAGAGATGACGCCCTTTAAGCAGAAGGCCAGAAGAATTATAATCATTAGAAAGATCGGACTCTTTAAACTTTCTACGCAAATGACTACAAAGAAACGAGTTATTTTCTATGTAGCATAACATGATGGTAATTACACAAGGGTTTGACACACCCCTCTCTCATTTTCCCTTTCTTTCAACTTTTGAATTTTTTGTGCTGTATTGTAAGAGACTTATTTATGGGTTTGCTGGAACGAATTAAGTGGATTGATGACTCTTATAAGATTTGGAATAGGCATGCTCTTGGAGAAAGGCTTAGCGGCTGACCTCAAATATGAGAATGGGTTTGGTGATCTCTCAGGCATAATCATAAGTGGTTAGCTTATATTTTTTGGTATAAAAATCCCAGAGAAGCATACCTGCATGCAGCATACATATTAGTTCACATATATTGTTCACCTTCAACTTTGGAATGATAAATGGCAGTACTATTGTCCTTTTGGTTGTATGGAAATTATCTTTATCACATATCTGCAGGTTTTTTTTTTAATGTATGCTGCATGAATTTTATCATTGTCCAGCTTGTCATACATATTAATCCACATTTCAAAATATCACATGCAAGCTTGAGTGATAATATTGTGAATACTATTGTCCAGCTTGCCGGTCCATGGGATTGCAAAACTAGTCACCCACCTTGTCATTTATCATTTGCAATTTGTAGGCCTCGAGATTTAGAAATCCCTTTCAGATTTTTAAAGAATAAATGTGTGAAAGCTATAGAATATATATATATTTTTTTATTGCTAATTACAAATGCCTATCAGGAAGGACGGAAATCAGACAACTAAATGAGGAGTTTTCTATAATTAGGAGCATTCTTATTTCTAATATTTTTATTTTGATTTATTTCCCTTTTCTTATGTGTTAGGCAGGTGACCTCATCCATAAGCCTCCCAGTTCGGGTATTCAGCTCCAACTTTGATTGCTTCATGTCTTCATTTGCAAAAGACCTCTCTGCCAATCGACTCCTTATTTCTGAAAGAGTTCGGCAACCAAACGTTTCCTATTTTCTTTGAGCTATATTATGTTCTTGAGTAATGCTGCTTTGTTTAAACTTTCATAACCAAACCTCTTGGATTTGGGATCCTCTTCAGTCCACAAAGAGTAATTTTCCTCCAACTCCTTCAACTTCTTAAGCAAATCCTCATTCGTTGCATGCCCTTGAAGCTTAGAGTTGATTAGCTCATCGTTCCAAGAGGTCTTAGATCCTCTTCTTCGCAAACCAACGTTCCTGTGAAGGTCAAAAGGTTCATAAAACCAATTACCATTGAATGTCTCATTGATTGGAGTGAGATCCAAGGAGCACCCTTGAGACGTCCTATCCAGATTCCCGCTGGACGAGTTCTCATAGATGTCTTCAATGGGAGCATTTGTTCGAGAGTTGCATTCCCGATGGCCAGAAAAGGATTTTCCCTCACTGTTGTTTTCCAAGTATTTCTGTTGGAATGCAGGCTTGAGATCATCACTTATCCATTCCCTGCTTGGGAGTTCATAATGCTTCTCTGATATCCCTAAATGAGTATGATCGACGATTGTCTATGCTATAGTTAGGTGATGTTGGTGCTGTGCACGAAGCTCTCGGTGGCCTTCCTAAAATAGAACTTTTATTATTTTCATCTACGGTGCCATCTTCCCCACTTTTAGAAACACATTTTTTGAAACATCTTTTGCTTTGCTAATCCTATGTTCTCCATCAATATAAAAGTCGAGAACTTTGTTTTGAGAAGAAATTCGAGATGAGCAAGTTGTTCAATATCTTAGAGGAATTGGAGAACTGCAAGCCGATGTAGGGTCTGAAGAATTTTGACGAACACCAAAGGAACTGGCAGAACTTCGTTTCTCAAAAGCATTCAACCAAAGATTCTCTCTTTCAACTGCTCCATATCTATCTGGAATAAGTGAGCCATCGCTGCGAAGAGGATATCGGTCAACATTTTGATCATTATTACAGCAGGAAATCATTCTGCTCTGATCACTCAAAGAACTAAAACTTCCCTCCTTTAAATGGCTTCAAATAGCTTTAGATGTGAGAGACAAGCTCCTTCGCCAATGTGGATTAGAAGATCTCTCTTCCTTGAAATTTTGATTTAGAGGCTTGAGAACAGAGTCTTCCGGAGTTTCAAAAACGTTACAGTTACTCTCGTGTGTGGAAGTTTCATCTTTGATCTCCTCAGCCACCCCTGAACTGATCTTCTTCCTGCTCTTGTTCGATTCTGAAGGAGCAAAGATGTCGTTTCCACCACTAGATGAAGATCTGTAAGAAAAGTTAGCTATAGATATTGATTTTTCTACTTTAAAATTTTTTTTATTCATATTAAAAACTTTTATGACGCTCAGTAATGGAGAAAAAGACTGATGTAGCAGACTACGTTTAGTAGGATAAATATTTGTTCTTGATGTTATTGCGGGTTTAAGAATACTTTGAAGGTACAAGGTACGTGTGGTTGATACTAGATAGAGTTCCTTTCATGCCTTAGCTGGCTGTTTCACGTGGAATAAAAAAATCATTTAAGTGCCAGAAATTCAATGTATGCCAACCTTATAAGCCATCTACTGAGTTCTATGATTGGCTGATGGACATCACGAGGAAAACATTTTGATGGGGTTTTTTTTTTTTCTTTTATGATTTTAGATATGTAAATTTTATATTAGTTTGAAGGAGGTTAAATTATTTTTAAGAAAATAATTGAAAATAAAGTCACAATAATTGTGAAGGTAAATGACAAAATCATCCTTTATAAAGCATTTATTTTGCAAGTGCTTAATAATGTAAAAGGTGCTGTTCAATTTTAATCACTATAAACTTTTATATTTTTTTTAATTCGATTTTGAATTGCCAATATAAAAGATTAAGTTAATATAATTTTGAATTTGGCAGTGTTGAAAAATTATTTGAGCTTGAGCAAGCTCAGGTTTGACTTTTATTCTGCTTGTTCAAAATGGCTCTCATTGGCTCGTTCGAAATTAGCAAATTAATCTCAGTGCTCTTTATATTTACACAACTAAAATTAATATTTTTCTTATCAGGTCCATGCAAACACTAATTCATATAAATAGTGAACGTATCATTCTTTTTTTAATGTTCGTTAAATGATTAAAATATATATATTTTTTATTTTTTTCATTAAAATTCATTTATTATTATGGATAAAAATAATTTTGATTTAAATATATGACGCGTTAAATATACTATAGATGCTATACTTTAAAACCCGTTTTTTAAATTCAATCAACTTCTTCGAAACCTTATATATTTAGGCTACTGAGAGGTCCTCTTAAGTTCATGAAAACAACTTACTACCAATAATAAATTTTAAATAAAATTTATCTCAAAATTATTGAATTTTATTTGAGGTAAGGCAACATATAAATAATTAATATTACATTAATTGCTATAAAGACAAAGAATGACGCTAAGACTTTGCCAAGCCAAAATAAGTCATTGTTGGAGGTAAAAATACTTCAATCGGTCGTCTCGCATCAGTCGATAAATTAAGCTCTCTCCTCTGACCACCTTACGGCAATCGGTAGGCTAGATCTCTCCTCTAGTCAACTTACGACAGTTGACCGGTCAATTCTCTAAACTTACCGATTAATTCCATAATCAAACAACTAAATGCATAAAACATAAGATATAAAATATTCTATATACACCATCTAATCTCTTAGCAGGCGTGTGTAAAATTTATTTACGATAGATGCAAACTATATAATAAATAGATAACATGATAAGAAGAGAGTCGCAGAACCAATGCAAGGAAAATTGTAATTTAAGAATTTGCATGAATCTTGAAGCTATCGAATGGGTAGAGTTAAGACATGACTGAAAATATATTTGAACACCCAACCTGAGTTCAACCGATTAGTTCCACCTTCTTAGGGCTAGGATCGGCTGTGCCAGAGGGGATTTGAACACCCAACCTGAGAGGTCTTTCACTGAGGTTATCATCCAATATGCCGAGGTACGTGAATATTAATCTGTTCGTTTGTTTATAAGATTATAAATCAATGAAAATTAAAAGAATCAAGCAATAAACATTGTATCTGAACTTGAAGCTTAACAGGGTTAATACCATAAATATACAATTTCTTGAGATAGTAAGTGAAATCACAAAAAATTTGGCTTCGTGTCCTGTAGCCGTTCCTATACCCGCACGCGGCGACCACGATGCTGCACCGGCAGCACAGCAGTTGCTCCCACGGCCACACTGACGGCTACACCGCACATTTCATAATTACAAGTGGAAGCCGGCTCTCGACCAAAAACTTCGAAAATCTGTCAATCCCATAGATCGCCGGAGTTCAATCCGATATTGACGGCGGAAGAATGACGAAGAAAGCTGTGCTGATCGGCTGCAACTATCCGGGAACCAAGGCGGAGCTGAAAGGTTGCGTGAACGACGTGCGACGAGTCCATCGATGCCTGGTAGATCGCTACGGCTTCAAGGAGAGTGACATCAAGATACTGATCGACACTGACACCGCCTACACCCAACCCACCGGAGCAAACATCCGGCGAGCCATCACCAACCTTGTTCACTCCGCGGAACCCGGCGATTACCTCTTTGTGCCCTACAGCGGACACGGAACACGATTACCGGCTGAGACTGGAGAAGATGACGATACCGGTTATGACGAGTGTATCGTTCCCTGTGATATGAATCTCATTACTGGTCCTCTTCTCCCCTTTGATTCTTCATCATCTTTTTTTGGATCTAATTTTTCTCTTATTTGTCTGTTTCATTTGATCTTTAATTTAACTTGTTAGTTCTGGTGAGAATTGATGGGTTACAGTAACTTTGGAGTGATCTTGGAGATGGGGTTTGGGTTTATTGATTTAATTACTGACAGCTCTCAATATTCTCATCTTCTTAAACTGATTCAATCACAAGACCACTATGTCACAACATTTTTTATCATTGGCAGCTGGCCGCTAGGCAGTGGTGCTTCTCACATCACCACTGATCTGTGCAATTTCTCTCCTCGCACTCTTTATAATGGCTTGGATGATGTTATGATTGGAGATGGCTCGGGTTTACCCATAAACCACACCAATCCTACCTCTTTGTTTTCTAGCTTTTGTAAAAATTCCTTAAATAATCTACTTTTTGTACCTTGTTTGAAAAGCATCCTTATTTTCATGTTTTAGTTTTTTAAATCCAATCATTTATTTGTAGAGAGCTGAATCTCTTACTGATTTCTTGTAATGGATGCGTGCGAGAGAAATCAGTTTATCAAAGCAAAATAATGATTTCTCTCCAATCAGCTCCACTTAATTTTTTCTACTGTCAAGACGGCTTCATCTGACTGGCCTTATAAATTAAACTATCCAAAATTTTGATCCTTAAACATATTAATAATTGCCACTTTCATCTACTCTAGTTTGCAGTATGATTCAGTGCAATAAAATTCATAACCTTTCATTCTTTGCCACTACTATTATATATGCTTTGTCTCTTGAAATATTTTTCTTTGGTGTGTGGACCTCACTTATTCTATTCTGTTATGGTTTCAAACACTTTGTCATTTTTATCAATCATCATACCAAATACATGTAGTACCATCCACACAAGCAAAATCCTCATGTTTATGCTGTCTTCATTATCTTCAATGCCTTGGAGAAATATTTTAATTGTAAAATCATTACCTTATACTGAAAAATTCACCTTTGCCAGTGATATTTTCCATCTCACTAGCTTATCACACACACTTGAAGATAATAGGTACCATAAAAGATATCATTGACATATTAGCAGATTGTTCTCTTTCTTATCCCGTGCATCTATTTCACCTTTCTTTTGAATTCATAGCTTTGCCTTATCAATCTATCTCATAAATCATCTGCGCACATCCACATTTATCGTGTCCTCTCCATATAAAAACCTCTTTGGCCTGCCTTCCGACCATTCAAAACTTTGTATATTTGGCCACCTCTATTACCTATGTCTTTTCCTGTCAAAACAAATAAACTTGAATCTCACTCCAAACACCTCATCTCATCCTAAAATACTCACTCAAACTTCATATTTTTGCCACGACATTACTACTTATAAAATCTATCTCTCCCGTATGTACAATTTATTGAATAAATTCTTCCCCTTCCATCTTTTTCTTTGTTTCGTAATCTGAAGAAGTAATCTTCTCTTGGCATCACCATATCATACCCCTTCTCCACACTGCAAGGCTACTTTCGTGCTCACCATCTATAACTTTCATCTCTATAATGCCCATCTTAACAATCTTCCACTAAATGAACCATGCCAAAACTTCTACCTTCCTCTACAATAAACAACAACTACAACAAACAAACCATTCCCTTTCTACCCCAATAATACTCATTTTAGACACTACTTAAGCCAAAAATAATATTAACAAACCAATTTATAATGCACTATCACAATCACACTAAACCTATCACTTCTCTCTACCTCCACTCAAAATCTTATTGGGTCAAGTGAATTTTTCAAGTAAATATAACTTTGACGGCTCTATTGACATTTACAAAGAAGCTTAATTGCTGGCTAAAGGTTCACGAATGATTAGGACTTGACTATCATGACATTTTTGACCCATCGACCCATTTGTCAAGCATGCATCATTACAGTTGGTTCTCAACTTGACTGTTAGTTAGTGATAATCTCTTCATCAACTTGATATTAATAATGTTGTAAAAAACAACGACAATAAAACGAAAAATGGAACGAGAAAAATTGTACGTAGAAAAAACACCAGAGCGACATACAAATTTACGTGGTTCAGCAAATTTTCCTACATCCACGGAGCTGCAGAGGATTTTACAACTTTGAAGAATTACACCGTCGAGCGCCTCGACGTTTACAAGAAAATCTCTATTTTCTTCTTTCCCTTCCTCTTTCTCTCTCTTCCTCTCTTTCTCTTAGCTCTCAAGATGACTTGACTTGGTCTTGCTTAACTTGCATTTTCTTTAAACCAAAAAAGACTATTTATAGAAACCATGAGAGCGGTATGTGAGCGGTAGGTGGGTGTTGTACGTGAGTGGTAGGTGAGATAATTAAGAAGCTAATTAAATTCGGTGGACCGGATCTCCACATTACCCAACAATTCTCCCATTTGGAGACTGAGACACTAAATGCATCACCTACTATTTGCATCATCTACTAGCTGTACCGACCTTTTCCTCAAACATGATATCCTCAACCTCTGCAACTCAAAGCCTCTGTCTTTATATCAGAGGACCAGCTGAAGTCGAGCACAACTTCAGTTTCTCACGAGTAACAACCTTAGTTGACATATCACTCTCCACGTAGCCTCGTACCACCAGCTCTTTCCTGGGTTACCCTTGTATCTGCTTACAACTATCATTGCATGAGTAATATCCTGCCCTTGCTGAAAGCTCTGTTTAACAAGTCCAATATTGTACCTCTTATTGCCACCAAGCGCAGTCTTCACCCAGTACACCCACTTATTGTGCAATGTCTTCTTTCTTTGTGGAAGTTCTGTCAGCTCCCAAGTTCAATTCCCTGACAGGGAATCTGTTTTATCCTTCTTGGTCAGCTCCCACTTGCTCGAATTCTCATCTTACAAGATTTCTTCATAACTTTGTAGTTCTCCTCCATTTGTCTGTACAAAGTTCAGAAGTTCAGTTTTCCTGCCTTTGGTGCTCTGCCACTTTTCAGGGAATGAACATTCTTTTGCTTCCCCATAATGCACCTCTGACTCATGTGTCTACGCCTGAGTAAACATGTAGTCATATATAATGTGTTAGTTTTTTACCCTGAGCCAGTACTAATGCTTCTTTGGTAACCTTCCAGGTGCTATCTGAGAACACTACCGAATGATCACCCTTATTGAGTTGCCCAACAGAGATGAGATTTTTCTTCAACTCAGGAACGTGTCTGATCTTTTGCAATGTCCATTTGCTCTCATTAGAGAGTGCAATATCAACGTCTCGCATCCCTATCACGTTCAGAGTTTTTCCATCAGTCAGATGTACCTTTCCAAAGTTATCTGCAATATAATTTCGTATTAACTCCCGACGAGAATATGTATGGAAGGAAGCCCCTGAATCCAGTATCCAGTCATCAACAGAACTGTGAACTGTCAGCAATAATGCATCATGTATTTCTTCAGTTACAACATTAATGCCATCATTCTCCTTCTTAGGATTCCAGCAGTTTCTTTTTATGTGGCCAGTCTTGCCACAATTTCAGTAGGTTGTCTGCTGACCTGACTTTGATTTTGATCTTCCACGGTTTGAGCTTCTGTCTTGTGATCTCCCTCTGGAATCAACATTCAACACCGAACTTGACTTGAACACGCGAACTTGAACACGAGGCATCGCCAAAATCCTTTCTGCGCACCTCCTCAGCCAAAATCAAATCACAAATATCATCTTATTTCAACTTAGATATACCTGCAGAACTGCTAACTGTCATTCTCATAACTTCTCAGCTATTTGACAATGAAACCAACAATATCAGCGCACACATCTTATCTTCAAAATCAATTTCAACAGATGATAATTGATTTATGATAGTATTGAAAATAGTATTGAAATTGAAATCATTTAGGTGTTGAGCAACAAACACACCTTCCGTCATCTTCAAGTTGAATAACTTTTTCATTAGATGCACATTGTTATTCGCCGATACCTTTTCATATATACTTGATAAAGCCATAATGAGATCTGCAGTCGTCCTCTCCTTGATGAAGTTGTGGGCAATTGATCTCGACAGGGTTAATCGTATAACCCTCAGAACCTGTCGATCTAACAGATTCCATTCCGCTTCGTCCATCTTTTCTTGTCATTTTCCCAGTAACGGAAGATGAAGTTTCTTCCCATAAAGGTAGTCATTTATCTGCATCATTCAGTAAGCAAAATCTGTGTCATTGAACTGTGTCATTGAACTTCTTGATGTCATTGAACTTCTTGATCCCCAATTTATCACTTCGTCTCCACCCATCATTCTTTCTTAGATTCAAACCCAAGGCTCTGATACCAGTTGTTTTGAAAAAACTACGATAATAAAGCGAAAAATGGAACGAGAAAAATTGCACATAAAAAAAACACCATAGCGACACAGATTTACGTAGTTCGACAAATTTGCCTATATCCACGTAGCTGCAGAGGACTTTACTACTTTGAGGAATTACACCATCGAGCGCCTCGACGTTTAAAAGAAAATCTTTATTTTCTTCTCTCCCTTCCTCTCTCTTTTTTAAAAGACGACTTGGTCTGGCTTGGCTTGTGGCTTTACTTTTGACAAAACATAAGTGGCTATTGACTTGCATTTCCTTTAAAACAAAAGAGACAATTTATAGAAACCATGAGAGCGGTAGGTGGGAAGTAGGTGAGCGGTTGGTGAGATGTGATAGGTGAGCGGTAGGTGGGTGTGATAGATGAGCGGTAGGTGAGATACTTAATTAAGAAACTAATTAAATTCGGTGGATCGGGTCTCCACATCACCCAACAAATAATGTCATTTAATTGTGGGCATCTTTATAGCCAAAACTTTACGGTTATTTACATACTTTGCAAAGCCAGCTTTGTCCTCAAGGAAGCACCTTGTGCCTTGTTACCTGTAATACAACAATTCTTAGTTTCTTTTGGCTTTGCCAACTCTCTGGTTATTACAACTAATACATCTAGTGGATACACTTATTTATACTTTCATCATCTAATGAGATTATTTTA